ACGTTATTGTGGCTTGTTAGCGTTGTGTGATCATCAGAGTGATGTTGGAGTTTTGTGTCTCAGCCTCTTGCTTTCATTGTCATTGCACTGGACTATGGTATGTTTGTAAATAATAATTCACTAAAAACGGAAATAGTGCATAACGAATACATCCAGGATCCACGATTCAACTGTGGGTTGGACTAGAGTTAGAGATATTTTTAAGTAGCACTTCAAAAGCTTTGCTCAAAACACCTTTTTAATAAAGGTTATGATTATGTAATTTGCAAATCTGCCTCCTACAGAGTAAAACATAATTTACTATGCAAATATTACTACAGAAAATTAGTGTACACAATAAATACAGTTTAAAATGGAAGGAGGAATAAAGAATTGTCAAATTTTTGAAATAATCCAGCAATTACTTCAGTAATAAATATACTTTAAAAATTGCAGATGAGAATCACATTATTTTAATTTGTCTGATTTTGCTGACGATGCTATTACAAACAATGTGGTCTGCATCAAAAGCAGCATGACCAGGAGGCTGAGGGGAGGTGATTCTCCCCTTCCATTCTGCCCTCGTGAGACCCCACCTGGACTACTGTGTTCAGCTCTGAGGCCCCCAACATAAGAATAACATGGACCTGTTGGAGCAGGTCCAGAGGAGGGCCACAAAAATGATCAGAGGGATGGAACACCTCTCCTGTGGGGACAGGCTGGGAGTCTTGGGGTTGTTCAGCCTGGAGAAGAGAAGGCTCCGGCGAGACCTTATTGCAGCCTTCCAGTACCTGAAGGGGGCCTACAAGCAAGGTGGAGAGGGTCTTTTTCCAAGGGCATGTAGTGATAGGACAAGGGATAATGGCTTTAAACTGAAAAAAGGTAAATTTAGATTAGATATAAGGAAGAAATTTTTCAGTGAGGCACTGAAACAGGTGGCCCAGAGAAGCTGCAGATGCCTCCTCCCGGGAACTGTTCAAGGCCGGGCTGGATGGGGCTTTGAGCAACCTGGTCTAGTGGAAGGTGCCCCTGCCCATGGCAGGGGGGTTGGAACTAGGTGATCTTTAAGGGCTCTTCCAACCCAAACCATTCTGTGATTCTATGAAAAAGTTAATAGTAATTTATTATTTTTCTCCTAGCAGTAATAAATCTCCTCTTGAAACTTAAGATACTATTTGTAGTTTATTTGTGTAATAACCTATTTTTTAATCAAGTTACTTGCATATTATGTTCTAATTATGACTGGCTAGATTGTCTAGACAAGTAATTGACAAGACAAATCTGGTAAATGAAAGCTAGCAGAGAAAATCAGTGATGTTTTAAGCTATGAGAAATACTGGAGTTGCTACTTCTTCAGTCATCAAGTATATTTTCTGTTTAAAAACCATTAAAATATAATTGATTTTGCAAATGTGTCAAAAGTAAATTGAAAATAAATTGTTTTGAATACTCTAATTTTTTATCAGAATTTTCCACTGATGTTTCAGATTGAAGATAAGTGATACAGATTCCCTGGACTGTCCAAGGACCTTATTACATATTCGGTCACAAATGAAAACAAAAAATAAAACCCTTTTGGAATATGAACTATTTTTCTATGCCTTCATTTAGAAAGTTACTGCAGAAAGATGAATACAATAAAATTGGTGATAAAGAAGGTTGAGGATTACCAAGATGGTTATTTATGTCTGTTGAGACATCTGCTTTCAAGCACTGATTAGTTTTGGTGGGTATAAACTGTGGTTTGCTCTCAAATTAAGGATTTGTTATTACCATTAAACCGTTGAACACTTCCAGCTAGTTACAATTTTTTTGGTATTTATTAAAAGTGCATTGGTGGGTGGTTGTTAGACATGTAGCAAAATATTTTCTTTAAATTTCCTTATTATTTAGTAGTGTATTTGTAGTCTAGCAATGCAGCCACTGAAATACCTGCCTGTGCATTTGACCTGTCCTCAGAAAAGCCTGATATTGCAAACTGATTGGTACAGATTCTCATTTTAGCCCCTAGAAAATGCAGTGACTTTCCAGGCTGGGCACTAAAAACTACTAATTTGTATGGAGACATCTTTCAATAGCGAGAGTTAGGCTGCCATATAACACAGAATACCTTTATTTTTCATATTCCTTCCTCCATCTGTATGTGAGGTAATATGAGAGATAAGGTAGATATCAGGGAGCTGGCAGAGACTGAAGCGAGGGGAAATGCACTGTGAATGAATGTTTAGTGTATGTAGATGAAGGTTTAAAATTACCTGCAATTATTATTTTTGGAAGGGGCTGTTTGGAATGGGAACCTTCAATGTGTATCTGTATGCCAGCCTGAAGCCTTGTCTTCTAATTCTAGAGCTTTAAAAGTATCAGCATTAACATGGACTGTATTGGGGTGAGCAGAGCTGTGATGGTCTGAGCTAAATACCTTGGCAGTTTTGCACCTGTCCCATGTATGTCCATGCCATGGTTGTAGTCCACTGTGTGCAGCCATGCCTGTGTCCTCTTCAGCAGAGGAGACCTGGGTGAGAAACTGCCCAGGGAGGAAGAGTTCGATTCACACACTCACCATCAAGCCTCAGTGGATGCGTCTTCCTTCAGCTCTTCAGGGAAACACATCGCTCCGAGGGGCACCGAGTATCTAGGCGTTCATGCCACAGAGATGAGGAGGGATAACATGCTTTCTCCTTTGTCTCAAGAAAAAGAAACAGGTTCTAACATTTTGCTAGACTGTAAGAAGAAGGTGCCTCATTCACGTAATTGAAGCAAGACAATCTCATACGGTTCTCCATTATTACCCGCTGGCTGCCCAAAGCGTGCCTTGCTTGCTCTGAGAGTGGCTGAAAAATGTTCATTGGGACTTCATTCCTCAGTTTTAATGGGAAGGGAAGAAAATGCTCATGGCTCTCTTGATCGCGAAGAGAATGGAATTGATTGAAGGAGGAGTGTCCTAGTTATGTTGGCTTGATCACTGTGTGAAATGAAGGATTTTCTGTATTTTGTAGTGTGTAACCTGTAGGGTAGGTTTTGTAGTTAAAAATTTGGATACGTCACAAAATTGTATGAGACACACACATTCGGCCAGCAAAGCTGAATTTTAAAGCAATCTTGCTTTAAATAACAGTAGTAACACGAGGAATGTCATTACAGAGACTTTGTTTCTTTGTATATGTTTTCTATATCTGTTTGGCTATAAGCAAATGTAGCCTTGGCACATTTCTGAGCACAGTGTTAAGGACCATGTTTTTCTGTTTTGTGCAGGCTCTTCTTTGTCAATCAGTCTTCACTGGGGAGAACTGAGAGTGAGCTGGACTGTCAGGCAATTCATTTCTCTGAGGCTTTCTAGAATGGAAAATTGCACTCGTGTTTACACCACCTTGCAGCCCGTGATCTTCGAGTGCTTGCTTTCCTGTTTTGTAAAATTGCTTAGGATAGGACTTACGTTACAAGGATGTTTTTGAAGAGAATCTAATTAGTTGTCTGTTGGCCTTCATGCTAGCCATGAAAAGGATTGTTGTAGTGTCTGAGTAACTACAAAAGAAAAATGGTAACGAGAACACTGACAAATAAGTAGAAGCCTGATTGTAAAAGAGTTGGCTTAAAGATTTTTCATGCCTAAGTATCATTGCATAAATAAATCAAAATCCCATGCAAAAGAGGGCACTATTTATTTAATGCTTTTTCATCTGGCTAAAATTTTAATTTAAAATACAATTTTAGATTAATTTTCTTGAAATATAAATAGTGGAATGTAATGAAAGATCTATTAGCCAATAAAAGATTTGAATTACTGTAAAGTTAAGAATTTAATAAGCAATCAAAAGTTAAGCAATTTAATAAGCTGTTAAGAGTGTAAGGTATTCTCAGTAAACTAACTTTTTCAAAAGAGGGAATGAAGTGGTTTTGCAGCTACCTTTTTCAATTTAATGGAAGAGGCCTCTTCAAACTGTACATAGTTTCAATAAATGTGTAGTTTTACAGCAGCAAAAGCATCTGTAAATATATTTGTAAAAATAATCTTTCCAATAGTCAGTAAAAGTAGTCCTAAACTAAAATACACAACTAACATGAAAAGGGAGAGATGCAAGAAAAGGTGTATAGGAGTTGCATGTACTATTAACAAAAGAAAAGACATAAAGTCTAATTTTACTTTGTAACTTTGTAATTTAGGCATTGCTATTACAAACCTGTTTCAATTTTACTACCAATTTTTATGATAATCTGGAAAATTAGCTCTTCAATAGCTCAATGATTTTTTTCAGTTGTGACAACTTTAAGACTCTCTAGTTTTATCCAGCTTGGAACAGAATATGGTGAAGCATACTGCCCTGCAAGGCTGAGAAGTTACTGACTTGGCCTTGACACTCAGTGCCTTATGTTTCAGCTACAGAAAATTCATCTTGACCTGAAGACCGTCATAAGGATGAGGTCTGGCTACTACCAGTAGCCTAAAGACTGAATATTGTTCCCCCCACAATCTGATCATGTATAAGACATATGTTCTATATGGTAATGTCCAAGCTGAGATTTCGCGGCTTTGCTTGGCAGCCTTTGACAGTGTTTCTGCTCCCAGGGTGAGTTTTTCTCCCTGATATGTAATTGTAATTTTCTTTGGCACAACGTGTGTTGCTGCTCCTGTTCCTTTCAAGGAGCACCCCCTAGAAAAGTCTGGTTTTCCCTGTAATCACCACGGGGTTTGTAAAGAGAACCGTAAGATCCCCCTCTCCTCTCTCCTCCCTCAGCTCCTCCAGCCACGCAGGGTGAGTGCAC